TTTTCATTGTATAATTATTCTTGGGGCATATATTATGAACCGTAAAATCTATTCCAGTGAAGATTCCATCTGAGGCCTACCAAACTGCAGCAGCCGACTTCCTCAGCAGACATTCAAACGATTGGCGTTAGTAGCAATTCTGCCAGGTTTGAAATATCACTGAGGACATGGCTGACGGGTAGGATGGCAAACTTCTCTGAAAAGAGCAAGTGTCAAAGACCCTTTTCTACTCGTACGTCATTTTTTCCTGCCGTGCGTTTTATGAGGAATAATATGAAGGAAGATCAAGTCTTACTATACACATAACAGTTCCCTAACGCATGTATGCTGGTTTTTTAGGAATCATGGCTTCAAGAAAATGTCGATTTTCTCGTAAATCTAAATGGTTTCTTGTACTTCAAAGCTGACCGATCGTCGAACACGAAGTCGCAAGCAGGTAATGCGAAACGTTCATTCGTTAGGAATGGTGCTCAGATTTCACCGTTGCATCTGAGGGAATCCAATGTCAAATTCCTCGTTGCCCCCGGAAATTTCTATCGCCGCACAATTCGATCTTAACTGCAGTATGTACACTAAAGTGCAGTGCCATTGCAACAAAGCCTTTCTTTGAGGAACTGTTTCTGTTTCTGTGAAAAGATGCTAAGAACAGCTTGCTCACCCTAGAAAAAGGCTTAAACCGGCATCGTCATGAAGCTCTTCTGTTCTTAAGCTTGAAAACATCATGAAGTTTGATACTCTAAGAATTTTGCAGTTAGTCACGAACTGCTAAACACTCACTTCGATTACACTGCGAAACAGCCTGATCCTTTGGTGCTTTGAGACTAGTTTATGTTTGATGCTTTCTTTCTCGAAGTCGAAGAGTTAGTTGCGATGAGACACCCTTCTCCGAGGTTCGTTCACTTTGTGAAATTGGACGACCAGAAAATTTGGAGAAATTCAAGCAGTTCTGGTCGCATTTAGACGATCTGAAGAGTCAGTATCAACTCAAAGCCGTAGTTACAACATTCAAGAGTGTCATAAAGCATACTTTCAATGCCTTTTGTCCATTTAAAAAAAATTGAATTATTTCCCGCACTATCCTTTCGGTCGCGTTGAAGCCATTTTTGATGCGTAAAGGAGAGAACACACACACATAGTGAGTCTCAAATATTGGGTGCTCCATCCTTGAAACTGAAAAAAAGATCATTTGACTAAGTCAGATCTACGCAGGAAGCTGTTTCCAAGATGGCAGTGAAGAAAAACTTATGAAAGAATATTAAGACATTCTGCAGCATTAAAAATAGACCCGCTTAATCGGACATTAATCCAGAGAGCTTTGAATTAGCATTTTTTGAAATTCAAGATTTCATCGACTGCTGCTCGTGGATTTACGTTTTTCGCTTCAGTTCAGCGCGAATGAGCTGTGACTGTGCCTGAATCATCTCTGTTTAAGCTGAACCCATTATTATTGAATCTATATTTATCTTAAGTGTGCAATCTCCTTACCGATATTTCAACTTTTGTCGGTCCCAGTCAGCAATGCCTAACACTTGGCTTCATGCTTCAATTGTTCCTGTCCCAAAGAGAGGCGATAATAAGATAACGCCAGATGGATTTCACCCGATAGCGACCACACTAGTTCTAAAG